ATCTTATCTTACACACGTTACTCACACTGCTAGGCAGTACTTCCACTGTTGTATTGAAGAATTTATCTCCATTGGTCTCGATATTTCCACTGCGAAACAGGTACCTGCATTGTTAAAGAAAAGAGCACAGGTGGAATATAAATACGCCAACCTGGTAACATCTACACACAAAGATGCTCCTGGGCTCAAATACTGCACGCAGCATTATTATCACGTCATATCAGTTTCATTTCTAAATTACATTTTACTTTAAACTGGCGTTCATGTTCATTTGTGCAATGAAAAAAAAAAAAACCCAACAAACTTCAACCTATCACTTTAAACTTTACTGCTCTAACATACAGAAATGATTCTGAATAATAACTGAAACCTGTGCAAAGATGTTTTAAACTGCTACAGCATCACTTGACAGGAGGAAAATATTTAAAATTGAACAAAGAAACTGTCATTTTTCTAGTTTTCGTCTTGATGCATTTTTGTAGTTGGTTCATATTATAGAGGGAAGTCATTCTTTGGAACCAAGCAAACAGCTGTGTGACTACCAGACAGTCCTGTGAGCACAGGATCACAGTCTGGCACATGTACTGTACAGGAAAAGTCATGAAGCTCATACAGTTAGAATGTTGACTTTCCAGAAAGACGTGCTGCAACCAATCATCGCTTTTTGTTCGACCATAACAGCACAGGTTTCACAAAACGAGTGACATACTGACTCTGATGCTCCAGTTTCTCTTTACTTAGTAGCACAAGGAGATTTAAACATTCTTAGGAAATACATCACACATTAAATAATCAGTTCTTATCAAATTTGGTAGAGAATATGAGTGCTAACGTTTTTTAAAAAGATTCTCAGATTACTATCTGAGTATCTTTTTCCTGTGCAGTATCTTTGATGTACTTAAGACTGCGCTCTTCTGGAGCCACTCGCCCAGTTTGGGCGTCACTGCCCTGAGTACTCCAATTACCACGGGGACTACTAATGCGTTCACCTTCCACATCTTCTCTCGCTCCTCTCTCAATCATTGGGACTTCTTGAGCCACCCATATTCCTTCTTCCTGATATCTGTTAGTTACACATTTTAAATCTCATGTTTTGAAAGCCCGGTTGGTTAGCCATCACCGTTTGTCTGTACATGTTCCACAGAATCTTAGCTCGGTCATTTTCAATCACCCTAGCGGGTGATAGTATACAGATGTTTCGGTATACTATGGCAGCCGCTTGGTTATGGCGTTCCATGTATGCTAGCATCTTGCACCAGCCTGCACCTGGGGTCTTGCCTGGTGTGATAGACCCCAGCCTCTGTGCTGTCAGACACTTCCTCTACCTGGTCCATTATGGTTCTTCTCCTTGCTCCTCTTCTTTCTCTGGTTTCTCACCAAGCACGTGGTTGGTTGTGGCCATCTTCCTGATGTACTCCTGGGTTTCTTGGGGATAAGGGCAGTCCGGCCTTAATTTTGGGTGCATCTCATCCGGTAGCAGCTGGTTCCTTTGTGCTGCTAGACATTCACTGAGTGCAGTTAGCTTCTTTAGCCAGCAGGAGTGAATCATGTCAGGGTGTGCTGCTGTCCAACTTTTTATAGTGGAAACCTTTTCTTGGATTTCTGCCATTGTGATGGTTGGTCCTGTTTAGGGAGGTTGCTGTGGTCTACTCTTAGATCTACTAGTCAATAAGGATTGTTGTTATATGTTGTGTCCTTCTCCTATATGTTCTTCCAGTATTGCTCCGTCTCCAGACTCTATGGGGTTGTTCTCACATTGCTTCCCTACTACTGAGAGTACAGCTTGGATAGTTCAGTGGGGCAGGGCTGGTTTATTCTCCTGGGTCCTATTGGTCTTGTTCAAGCAGTTAGCCAAGGCTTTGAGTCTTTGTTTGACTGTCTCTAAGGCCTCAGGTAGTGGCAGTTTGTTGTACAACAATCTGCCACTACAATCTTCATTAATCCTTTCTGCCATTCTGATAGTTGGCTAACCTCCCTCCATGCAGCCTTGATTTCCAGTTTTCCATGGAGGGTACGGCTCCTTGTAGCCGTTGTTCATCTTATAGTCAAGCATCTGAATGATCACCAGTATTGGGGAGTAATGGAATACATGTACCGCCGTTACGTATTTAAAATACAAACTATGAGTAACTGTATTTCGTTACAGTTACCATTTAAAAAGGTGGTATTCAGAATACAGTTACTTTGCTGAAATAAAGGGATTACATGGCGGTCTTTTCCTGTTTCATATGTTCGGCTATGCCCTCTCTATTTTCGGTTCCACGCCCCAAACAAAACACGCATTAAGAGGCTCTAATGTCTGTGACTCAATCTCGCCGCCCGTGTCACCACTGCTTGCAGAAGCATAATGACGTGAAGAAATATGTTAAAGAATTATTCACAAAAGTGATTTAATATGAAGGCAGAGTGTTACAGGCATCGCCCTAAAGCATG